AAATACCTAAGTAGTGATAATCATGAAGAAAAAATATTTGTTACGTGAAATGTTATCTTTTGTAAAGTTATTTTAAAACTAAATAAAAGCCAGGTTGACAGGTTGGATTTTAGACAAGTTCCAAGTGGACATCTTAATGGAATCATTGGATCTAATATGAGATTACAGACTTGAAGTAAGTGTGTATTGAATCATACCTTATTTGGAAATCATCACCATTGGATCATATTTAAATATGTGTGATTTTTTTTTTTTTTTCTTTTCTTTTTTTTTTTTTTTTTTTTTTTTTTTTTTTTTATAAAAATTTCAAGTATGCACATGTTTTGAAAATCTAATTTTATTTTAGTGGATTTTTATTGCAGTCATAAAAACAGACATAATACTGAACTGTGATATATATTGTTTTTTGTTTGAGGACTTATAATAAATGTAGCCAAAAGGTTAGTGTTTATAGCCCCCTGGTAGTTTATCACTTTTACTACAAACATAAACACAATAACACAAATTTACTGACAAAAGTTCATAACTTTAATTTCTGGCTAGAAAAGGTTCAACTTCATCTTTGTATCACATAGTAATGGTAATATTAGCTGTTTTTATAAGGAAACATTTGGCATTCATTGACTGAGCAGCCAATGCCATTTTTGGTTGAAATTTATAAAATCTTTCTTTTAAAACAATTTTTCAGGAAAATAGCTTTCTCGAGTCCACTACCTGTTGTTGTGTGTTCCAGTATTGAATGCTTCCCTCTTAGCTTTTTGTTTTGAAACTTTGTGGAATGTCAACCTCTTGATTGTCATTATTTTCTCATTGAGTGACATGTGCTATTCATTTTAGTTGTTGAAAGTCCTCAAGTGACATTTCTGTTAGTTGGTACAGTTTTTGTGGTTCTGTAGTGCCAGTTCAATAGGTTTGGAGGATGATGGTCCTCACTATAACCTACTTGTTTCATTTGCTCATAGCCATTTTTAAGCATTGATCCAAGAATGTTGTTGTATACAGCTGACAGTTTAGATCAGTGTTTCTCAACTGGTGTGTCCAGGCATACTAACGTACCCTGAAAGAAGAATAATTTATGAATTATTTTTTATTCTTATAACAATCTTTATGATCTCATAAAGTTAAAGACTAAATCTCATTCATAAGATCTTTTGAAACTTGGGAGGAACATATATATTCTTTTTTAAGTAATAAAAATTTGAAAAAACTTCAGCGGCTATACTGAAATATCTTTTAAAAGTAAATAGTAACTAAACTATTCCTTAGTTTCTTCACTAATGTGCAAAATCACAGATTATATATATATATATATATATATGTGTGTGTGTGTGTAAAAATATATAGAAAATAGGAAAGAACTCGTTAGTTAAATAATCCAAAGTTCTTTAGTATTTTTGTTATTATTTTTAAAAAATAGTGCTCGATACAAAAGTAGAGCATAAATACAATTATTTATTTAAATGAAGTTATTTTCAATATTCTATAATATTAGAAAATGCAATTTAAAAAAACATACAGAAGAGTACTCATATGACATATAAAGAATGAATTATTTATTCCACATGAAATACAATCTTTTATTAAAATTTAAATTGTACCTTAGAGTTTTAGTTATTCTACAAGTGTGCCCTGAAGTAAAAAAGTTGAGAAACACTTGTTCAGCTGGTTAAGAAAAAGATAAGGATTCAATTTAACTCACCTGATAGAAACAAAAATAAAGGTAAAGTTTAGTATTATACTTACATTGTTAATCAAACCCTCATTAAAAAAAATATAAAAAATTAACATTTTAAAAAATTAATATGATAAAACTATACTTCAGTGTTGAATTAAAAATATTTTGACCTCAGCTCTGGTCTTCCTTGAGTTATACATTAAGAGGCAGATGGACAAAAACAAGATTTGATAAACTATATTGGGCTGGTCAAAAAGTTTATTTGCTTATCAAGTAGAAAATTTCCTTAATAAACCAAATGAACTTTATGGCCAACCCATAAAATGAAAAATGTTATTTTTTTTCATGAGAAGTTATAAACTTATAAGCAGATAAACCCTTTTTAAAACTTAAAATTAATACAACCTCTGACCCATAATAATTGTTAGATTATAGAATAACTCTTAAATAAAAACAAGTAATGGTTAAATTGAATAAAATGAAATTTATTGCTTGGTTTCATTCATTTTGAGAAATATTCAAATAATTTAATTTGTATAGTTTGGCATTTAAAATAGTATCAGTGTTGAATTTCATACTTTGGTGATATTTTAGGAACATTGTAGCAAAAAACACAGCATTAGGTATATCTACTATCTATATTTCTCATGTTGTCTGTCTGTCATGAGCATTGTTACCTCCCCCAGGGCGCATTTCTCACCCAATTTCGATGTGGTTTTCACCATAAGTTTGCAAATGGCTGCCATAAGGATGTGATGGAGCCCGATTTTTGAGTTCGGAATCAGTTTCTGAAAAAATCGATAATCGAAAAAAATCTGCTTACAGAAGGAATGATCACATTACAACCAAATTTGACACCCTCTTAGAGTCTACCATTAGAAGTGTCGTCCAGAAGTTTCATGACCACGGACCCCTAAACAGCGTGGAAAATAGATAAAATCCAAAAACCGATATGCTCAGATTGCACCTGAACTGCATGTCGGTTTTTAGCTAAAACTGACCGGATTTATGATGTGGCCATTGGGGGTCACCATGTGAAGAAGCCATTTGAAGGGTTTGAAGGCCCAAGGACAAATGCTGTCTGTCATTGGTGTACACTTAGAGGAGCAGTGCTTCTCAGACGGCCAACTTGACATAGCTTGCTCTCAAGTCGGCAGGCGTGAGGATGTTCCTTTATTCACCCTCGCAAAAAGCTGAAAATGTGGTCTACACTGAAGTCCTCAGCCAGTGATACGCAAACTCCATTCCATTTTTCCTTTTCATGCAAGGAAATTGCTGTATGTCATACGATTTTTGAATCAAGCATGGGCAACACCGGGCCATACTGCTAGTTATTTCTATTTTTTTGGTATAGTTCTATATTTGGTATATCATTTTCTATTTTTGCTTTACATGTCCTTTGCTTGTATCCAACAGCAGAACTATAACACCACTTTTGCTTTCTTAATTGATGTGGTGTTTTATATAATCATTGTAGTAACTGCAAGATTTGCTATGATTGGTCAATAAGCAAGTTCTGCCATTACTATGCAGATTAATATGTGTCACAATTGCTATGCAAATTCGTCAACGATTCTGTCTGTGCCACATTTCATCAGACAGAATCATATCAAAAGTTATACTTAGGGGCCTCTTCTCCAGTTGGTCTGTTTTTCCATAGGATAGAATAATTCTTTGCAACCCAGCTTTTCATTTTGGAGTATGTGTTTTTATTTTAGGAATTATGATAAGAATGGAAACAATGAAAATATATGTTTGTTTTTTTTCTTTGACTAAATTATGTTGCTTAAAAAAGACATTCAAGAAGATGTAGTACAAAGAAGCCAAGCACTCTATTATTACTGACAATAGGCATCTACAATGGGACCCATTTTTTATGGCAAGAACATATACTACCTATAATAAGAGGACACAGAAATTTAATTTATGATGACAAAAGTGATGTATATGAAATTCTTACATTTATCTATTATTAGGTAAAAAAAAGATTTTGCATTTAAAAAAAAAAATCTTTTAAATTTTTAAACAGAAGTCATTTTTCATTTTAAAGAGTTTTACCAAAAACTGAAAATTTAATCTTTGAGAATATTTGCTAAAGTTGTAACTTCAAACGTCACCATATTCTTGGATTAAAATGCAACAAAATTACACACTATATATATATATATATATATATATATATATATAACATACATTTTCATGTATCAAAACAACTTTAGGTAAAACTATAACAAAGTCAAACATTTTTAGTGCAATGTATTTCATCTTTTAGGACTTCATTGGTCTAAAGTGATGTTTATATTGATGTGACTACACATGTGTATGAAGGAGAGGGGACGCTGAGAATTTGTATATAGTCTAGCTGATTTCATTTTGTTTCTTGTTTGTGTTTTATCACCTTTGCCATTGTGATAATAGAAGATCTGTCAAGAAAGATGAAATGTTTTGAGAAATCCTAAAGAATGAAAACTTCATCACATGAAAACTTTTTTCCACTTTTTTCATGATTTTCCTTATATATATATATATATATATATATATATATATATATATATATATATATACACACACACACATTTTGAAATCTGCAAGGTAGACATTTATTATATGTCTATCTGTATCCTTACAGCTAGAATGTGGTTATATAAAACATGCACATTACATATGAAGATAATTTGGAAAATTTCTATTTTGATGTTTTAACAATGGAGTCATTAGACAAAGAATTTTATTTCACAAGAACATATCTACAATAATGAGGCAAAATATGATTCATAAAAAGAACTGTAGGCACTCATTTTTATTGAATAATAGATTATTTGCCTTCTGTATATGTTCCCTTCTCAAACAGCCTTTTATTCTTCAAAAGAACTATTGATTTGTTTTTTATAGATTATCAACCCTTTGCAGGTTATTTAAAACCAGAAAAGTTTTCTTAGTTAATAGTTTAGTGATATAAGTCTTACTAATTAACCCATAGCCTCTAGTAATTATATCCACACAAACATGCACATATGCGCAAAAGCTGAGTATCATCTACCATGTATACAACTGTGAAAGTAGAATAACATCCATATATTTTTATTACTTCAAGCTCTCAAGAAAATTAAATGACCTATAAGGATTTGATATGTCATTAAGCACACAAATCAATCAACCAATTTTAATAATTAACCCATAGCTGGGGGTAGAAGGGGTGGAGTCATATTTTTTCCCCAGGGTATTTGCATGTAAGTGAATATAATGAATCCAAAGGGAATTGGAACTCTGCTCTCTGGCTAACAATTCCAAGCCATTATCCATTACATGACCCACACATACAAGTTTACAGCACCTGGTATTCTCAAACTGTGCACCCATCTAGATACTGACCAGGCTCAATGATGCTTAACTTCAGTGATCATATAGGAACCAGTGTTTCTGAAATATGACCCGTTAACATTAATCTTGACTATGAATGCATTAGTGATAAAATGATTTGCTAATTTTTTATAGTTCCTTTTTAAACCTGAAAGTAAAATTAGGTTCTCTTTACTAAATATCATATCCTGCCATGTGGCTGAGATACTTGTGCATTTACCATTAGTGAAAGGGATCAGTGTTCAATTGTGATTTTCAGGTTAGATGGTGCCTCTTAATGTGGAAGATTGGTACAACATAATCCTATATCTTCTATTTAGCCTTGTGTTAAACTATACCAAACGGATTACTGCACTTACTGTCTAAATTTCTGGAATAAGCAGTTATCATTATTTACATTATTTATATTTCAACTAATATCCTCATCTTTTTTGTTATTATCATGTTTTGATTGTTGTACCTTCTGGCCTTCTTCAGGTGTCTTTTGATTCAGGTAACCTCCAGGAAATTCCAAAATAATTCCTTTAGTGGAAACAAAATGTAGACAGAGCAGCCAGTCACTATTGATAATGGTCGGTCAAAGAGACAATGTTTAGTGTGTTGTCTCTGCCGAAAGCCAGCACATGGCTGCCCTGCCAGAACAAGAGCTGGTGCAAATCCTGGAATGTAGGGTTATGAAGAAAGAAAGTGTTTACCAGTTTCCTCATGAGATAGTTGGGATGGTGAGCTGAGTGGTGTTGGCTATGCTAATGATTTATTTGTTAACTGCTAAAATTTTAGGCTCCATAAAAGCAGGCACATTTTCTGGGAAGAGGTAGGGCTTGGCAGTATGTCATGTTGACTGTACAAGAGGATTGCCATCCATGACCAAGGATTTGTGTCCATGTTACCCAGTGTCATTTCAAATTCGTTCATACTTGTTTGTATTTCCGGTGTCTTGACTATATTCATCTTGTATGTGTGTTGTTCTCATGTGGAAGTCTTGTTGCAAATCAGTGTTTGATTCTGGTGCTGCTGGGTTTTCTGTTCCTCTTTGTTGGCAGATACCCAATCAATAAGAAGAAAATCCCTTCAATTCCATTATTTAATCTACAGGAGAAAACTGTTTTTATTTCACTCCCTATATCTAGGGACATTTTGTCTTATTCTTGAATTTGTTGGCATAGTAATTGTGAGCCCAATCCCAGTGCGAGGTAGTTAAAACAGGTTGAGCAATACAGAACAGTACTAAAAAGATCAGGATCCTTAGTCATGAACAGTGGAACAAGAACAGTCAACATCCAACAAATTAAAAAGTTCAGTTTGAAATTTAACAAACATCTGAAGAAGACTAGAGGTCATAAAATTCAAAGCAGGATAACAAAGATAAGGATATTAGTCCTAATGTAAATAATATAAATAATTAATAATTTATATATATGTGGGTGCTGGACAGTATCTAGTCCCTAGGAGATGACTTTCAGGAATGCAGATACAGGTAAGAAAAAAGGTCATAGATGTAAAACATATTGTAAAACCATTGATATAACCAGTGTTATACTTTTCATTAGAACAAGATATATGCAAAAATTTAATGTATTCTTTGTATCAACCAAATGAAATCCCTTGTTACAAAAACACAAAACAATATTAGTAAAGAGTAAGATGTGTGGATTACAAATGTAGTGGAACTAATGTTAATTGAAAATGATTAAAATGAGTGCTACAAAATAGAGAATTTTTTTTTCTTTTTACAAGACAAGAAATGTGGAAATATCTGAAAACAAAAATTGTTTGTGTTTTGTTTTTCTTTAAAGTCTATGAGAGTCATAGAGAAATATCAGCATCTGCATGGTATTAAAAGCATTATTGCCAAGTTGTTGTAGAGTAGTTTTCTCAGTGGAGGTTTGTATTTCACTCAGTTGGTCCTAAATTAGGGTCCGACGTACAAAATGTTAGGAACTTGAAATAATAATTAATGACGCAGCAATCTAGTTGTGGGGCTCATACTTTAATGTCCGACATCGACTGACTCACACAACTCACTCAGCTTCCTGGCAACTGCTGCTGCTACTACTACTACTTATCTGTGGGAGAGTCTATTTACAATAGAAATAGGTACGTTCCAGTATAATACAAGTTGAGAATTGTAATTTGGTACTGTTCATTTAGTGGTCAAAGGACTGAGCTTGCAGTGAGAAACGGTTGTATTTCATCTTGCTGAACAAGTGAAGTGAAATATTCTCATTTAAATGCTCTGATAGGATCATGCACACACGTGTTAGGTCCACAAATTTCTTATGAAGGGACCACATTTTTTGTGCACCCGATTGGTCAAAAAATGTGGTCAAGTGTTTTGTTTTTTTAGCAAACATGCATAGGTGTTTTTTTATATATTAAGAATTATGCCAAAGTTGATCTGATTTTTCTAAGACTTTCCTTGACAGGAAATTTCATTTTATCGGATTCCTATCAGGCTTGGTCATGAGTTTCTTCATACAATTTTATTTTTGACATTGTAGACTTTTTCCTGAGGAAGACACTGTCTTTTTATAAGTCGGTGTTACTGTATATTAGAGAAAGGATAATGATTTTTTATTTTTTTTATTTTTTATTTATTTTTTTTTGAGTGATATTTTCCACTATATGTGATTAATATTTATCACTGAATTAATTTAGGGATTATGTTGAAAAATATTTATTATGCAAAATAAATGCTTTTTTTATCATTATATCTCTCCCTTTTTTGTCTCCCCCCACTCCCTCATGTATGATTCAATTGAAAGTCTATTATCTGTTATCCTGTCTATTATCAGAGAATTATTTGAGAATCGATCATTCTTTTTTAAAAAATTACATGTAAATTTGACTTGTTTTATTGTTTTTTTTTTTTGTTTTTTTTTAAGATGTACTTACTAAACACAAATGGCTGGAATATTTTTTAAAAAATATTACTCCTATCCCCCTCTTCCCACTCACTCCCTCTGGTCCACTCCCCACCACTTTCCCATTGAAATTTACTGACCATTATTTTAACTGTTGCTACTGTTTTTCTTAAAATCTAGTTTGTGCCACTCTAAAATTCTAAATGAAATGTTAATTTTCACCTGTGCATAAATTCTTGAATGATAATCGAGGAAACTTAATACAGAAAATGTTCCCTCAAAAATATGTTTCTGATTTAATTCCACTATCTACTAAATTTCATATCTGAAATGTAAACAAAATAATTTCTAAAGAATTAAAGGATTTATTTTTTAAATCTGACATTTTTATGACTTCAAATGTTATTTTAGTGGATACCTGTACTTGAGTAGACTCACCATTTATTTTAAACTTTTTGTTTACCAGCCTACATACTCCACAAAACATATTTTTGAGGTAACATTTTCTGTATTGTTTTCTCGAATCCACAGGCCAGTAGACAAAATAAATACTACTTAAAATAATGTCTACTCAAATATGGATATCCACTAAAATAACATTTGAAGTAATAAAAATATATCCGATTAAAAAATATAATCCATTAATTCTTTAGAAATCTATGTTATAAATAATGTCGTGCCACTTACATTTTCTTACACTAACCAGATGTTGACCGTTTGACAATCCAAAACAGACTGCATAAATACATTTTCTGTACATCAGCTTTATGCATACATCCACTTTACCCAAGACAAAATTAACCATACATTATGACCAGTCAGAGCCACTCCCATTGAAAAACCAGAACTTTAATTTCAAGCTGACTAAAAACTATATATACCCAAATTAAAACAGACATGACACAGATCAGTGTTTGATGTCAATACTGAGATGCTGAGAGAGAGACGCCACTGACAACAGCCACCAACAATGTCCATTTCACTTCTAATTTCACCACTCTCTCTCCCTGTTGCCTTAGTAACAGCAACAGATAGAAGTTACCAGTCTTTGTATGTATGTATGTCAAATTAATCATTTATTTACCCTTACTCAATGTCCTCTTTTGTTTGACACTTGAATTTATTTGCTGAGGTGAAGAAGGAATTAACCTCCACAACATTAACAACAAGAAGGTTCTATCTTCTAGGTTACCCATTTCCATTACCATGCCACTAGAAACATCTCTTTACTTAGAAATCTTTTGATTACACCAACTTTATACTCTTCCCTAATTTCTGATATTCAAGAATATCTATATATAATTTATGTAGGAACTGCAACACATGATCAAGACACTGAAGGAACGCCTTGATGAAATGCGGAAACTGAATGCCCAATTGTGTAAAGGTGCCAGCAAAGAAAGGCAAGAACCTCTGCAGAAAGAAATAACCGTCTTTGACCAAAAACTTGGAAATGTGTCTGAACGTTTGGCAGCCAAGTTGGCTCAACTTGAAGGTCTCATTGGCATGTGGTCTGAATATTATGGCCGTCTCAACAACTTTGAGAGTTGGATGAAACAAATGGAAATTGATTTGAACAAACTGAAAGATACAACTACAGATTCTCCAGAAAAACAATTAGCCAGTATAGAGGTAAGTCAAAAAAAAAAAAAAAAAAGTAAGTTTTTAAAAATGTATATGGGAGAAAATGATATATAAATTTTTATATACCAGAACAATGGTAGGAAAATCAATGACAAAGTAAAATTTTAAATGTTAAAATTTCAGCAACCCCTGTTCTTCATGCACATATGTATTTACATCAACATCCCTTTAGTCTGATAAAGTCTACATATATTTGAAAATACACCTAATTCACAAATATACGTATGTACAGACTCCTGCAATATGACTGATTTCAAAACTTAAATGAAGGACATGTTTGTGAAATTCCAAATGTTTTTGTAACTCTAGAAGGTGGTACAATGTAAAACTATAAACAAAAGGGTCTGGAAAACTAAATTATATTGACTCTTAAATTGCAAAGATAAAAAGTTAGATTTACAAGAGGAAGTTTACTCTGTTTGATTTTACTTACAGTCACTCTGCTATGATGTTCGAGAAAACCACGTCACCCTTGAAAACTTGGAAAAAGATTCTAAAGGACTTTCCCAGAATTTTCGAAGTAGGGAGACTGCAGCTCTGAAATCAAAACTGAAA